TTTGTAATTTCAAATTTCTGTTTTTTCGTTTTTCTTTACACCTCGTCCCCCTCCCCGAGAATTTTTTTTAAATATATTTTAGTTTTAGTTTTTTCATCTTTCGGTTTACAGGTTCAAAATTTTACAAGTTCCAAAGTTATGAGTTCGGAGATTTATGTGTTTGAAAGTTGACGGGTTTAAAGTTTATGAGTTCAAAAGTTCGTGGTTTGGAAAGTTTAGCGGTTCGGAAGTTTATGAAATTTGTGGGTTCGGAAGGTTGTTGGTTAGAAAGTTTATGGCATCATGTTTATTGTATATAAATTATTTATGAATACTCTTGAGAAGTTATTTTCCTTAATTTGCGTACCAAACACCGAAAAATGAATAAGATTACCACTTGTTTTCCAAGAAAACATTTTCTTGGAAAACATTTTCCGTTATACCAACACACCCTTAAACTTCTTTCGATTTCTTTATATTCGGGAGCAATTTAAAAATAGTCAGATTTACAAGTGGTCATTCAAAAATAGTCACAGTTTCAAAAGTTATCCAAATTTAGCCACTTTTCATGTAAAGATAAATCTGAATGAAAATATTATTCAAAATCCGGAAAATACTCCAGCATAATATACTGGAATTCCAGTATAATATACTAGAGTTTATAATATATTAGAATTTGGAGTTCCATTGTACTGGAGTTTGGACTGGAATTCCAGTATATTATACTGGAGCCAACAAAGTATACCGGTCCAGCATAATATGTTGGAAGTTCATACACAGGTGCACCGAACTCCAGTATATTATGATGCACCGGTCTTTGCTACAGCAAAATAGTGACTATTTTTCAATGACTTGACAAACGCTGGCTATTTTTAAATGACTAGTCCAAAAACTAGCTAGCCCGTGCTATTTTGACTTTATATTCTCGATAACTGTTTCAGGAGTTTAGATTAATTAAATAAATCACTAGTAGTCCATTTTTAAAGGAGAACAACGAAAGTTCAACTCGAGATTATTGTACCAAGGCTATTACTCCGTAATAGAAACAAACCATTCTGTTTCTAGAAACTCCTTTTATATTTATTTATTCGAAAAATTTAAGATCAGAAAAATGTTATATTTCCATTAAAAGTAGAAGAGTTTAATGAGGCAATTGCACCAAAATATAAGGGCATGTAGTTGTTTGGGTTACTACAGTTGCTGGAAGAAGATACGTGGATTTATTTCTATTCAATTAGTACCCATAATACATCGAAAGTAGCATAATGAGGGAAAATATAAATTACCCAAAATTCATGCTATTTTAAAGTTTCAGCAATATACCTATTATAGAAGTATTTATTCTTGTGCACAGCCGAGAGAGACAACACACTAACACATGCATATATAGATAATTTACCGGATTCAACTTAGTAATATCAGTCAACTATTTCGAGGAAAAAAACAAAGGAAGAAAATGAACTTTCAATAATAGACAGCTGTATCATCTTGTGGATCCTTTTGTGAAATAATGCGAAAAATGCATATTATAGCATTCCTCACCAGGTGCTTATTAAATAAGATTTATGTAGCACACCAACTGGTATACTATATAACATCTTTTAAATATTTATGTGTACAAATCCCATCCCTCTGTTTCTTGGTCAATGATGGACAACTACATAAGTGGACTAATAATTGAAATTACACGAAGAAATTACTTTTGGTGACATAATACGTTACCATATTATGATGAAGGATGAATCTATCTCAGCTTACCTTCCAATCAACATCATTTTTTGTCCTCTACCATACTTTCCAACCCTTAAACCTATCTACCTCATTTCCACATCATATATATACAATGCATACACACACACACACTCACTTCTTCTTGGATAGATTCGAATATATAGGGTCAAAGAAACAGCACGAGAAAATGGAAGGATACACCAAGATCAACGGAAACAACACTAGCAACAACAAATCAAGATCCACAGATTTCTCAGATCTCCAATCTTTTCCCCAACCACACAAAACCAATGAGAATCTTAGTCCAAACCACACAACAGTTCATGAGGTTCAGATCAAGAACATAGATCTTGAATCCATATCGAAAAACCAACATAGCAAGAGCCATGAAACCCATGATGAGAATGAGAATGAAAATGAAGATGGCATTGCCAATGATGGAAAAATGAAGGGAAACAACACTATTCCTGCTGGTGTGAAGTTGAGCAGGGCTTGCTCTGTTTCAGCAGCAGCTACAGCAAACAGGTTTAGGCTAGAAAGACAAGGAAGCAAAAGGAGTACTACTACATCATTTCAATCAGTGAAGAGAGTTTTTTCAATGAGAAGATCTTCATCAGTTTCTGAGAAGTATTGCAGGATCCATGATCAGGGATTCACCATTTCGTCTCCAGTATTGGATGATGTTACTGAAGCTAATGAAGGTATGGAGATGAAGAAGAAGAAAAGTGGAAGTGGCAGAATCCTAAAAGCCTGTAAGCGCCTTTTTGGAATCTAAAAGTCATCACAAAGTGTACTCATTTCATTCTTTTTTTTTAAAATAATTAATTTAATTAATGAATTCTCTGCTTGTTCAAAGTCAAAGAGTTTTTTATAGTCACTGGCTACACTCATCATATGGTGGAGTATGTATTGTTCATTACTCGCTGGTCCCCACACCCAACTCATGAATGCAAACCTCACATTCAGGATTCAAAGTCAATAGTTCAATATGAATGTGATCTATTATATTTTCAAATTTTTTTTTTTGAATATGCATATGAGGTTGTTTAACAGCCTCTCTGTCCTTCCAGGAGAGGGGTAACGTTGCGTACATCTTAACCTCCCCAGACCCCACTTGTGGAAAACTACTGAGTTTGTTGTTGTTGTTGTTTATGCATATGCGGTTCTAGTGAAAAGTAGCGGATTCAGTTTATGACACAAACTCGCTCTAAATCCGCCTCTAACCTTATCTCTCATAGATAATAAAAGTTTGTACATGTGTGTACTCTAGAGAGGAACTCCTGCAGTCCTACTTCAATCTTGAGAATGTTAAATCTTTGGCAATTTATCTCTTTCTTTGCACTTCTTTGTATATAGTTCTTATTTCAGATGATGGGAGTCTCGTTATGTTATGGAACATAGGTCTTGCCCTGTTTAACTATTTTATTTTAGTTACAAAGTGTTATATTTATATACTGTATTAAGTACTGTCAGTAGTTAATAAAGTTGAGCGATCAAAACGGAGGTGATTAGTAGGTAGTTCCAAAACATCTGATATGCTTAACTGTTAATTAGTTTAATGTGGAGTCAAAGTTAAACTCAAGATGTTTGACTATGAGGAAGCTGATTGAGATCCAAATCTAGGCATAAACTAATGAGTTTACAATTCAAAGTTTAGCCAGTAGTTAATAAAAGTGAATTAACAATTGTCTGGGAAAGTGAGGGTGAAGTTCTCAGAGAACATGGGGCCAAATAGCAAAAGAAAATGAGTTTAAAATAAGTGAAATATCAACAAGCATGTGATCATCAGACAATGAAGACAAAAATGGAAGTACCAACGCTGCATTTGACTTCACTTAGGATCCATTAATAGAGACCACAAATTGTAAACCACAAATCAATATTATAACATATAGTATATCCTTGTCACGGCTATCAAAATCAGGTTTTAATTGTCTCTATTTGCAATTTGATTAGAAGAAAACAACACTACAAAGATCATCTTACTTTTTACTGATCTCATGTCATGATATAGCTAAAACAATATTTGCAATGTAGTCGTCACAATTAGCAAAGGGAAACATATGAACATGTCCTAATACCAAGCACTTAAGATTCTCCCAACTTCAAAAGAAAGATAAGCATCAAGGCAAGCATAACATATCTGCTTAGGGCTAAGTCTGCGCTGATCCCAGTCACTCATAGTCACACTCTTGGGCTTCACAATCTCTTTTCCCACAATTTCCTTCACCAAATCTTTCAGCCCCGCCGTGCGAAGATCCTTCTTCTCCAGCTCCACTGCCGCCCACTCCCGGAGATCAACCGTGTTCAACACATCAAGTCCATAATCGTCCCACAGCTTCTTCACGTCACTCTTAATACCAACCCCCAGGAATCTGTAGTCGTCGTTCTGGAGGAAGTTGCGGAGCCGGCGGGGGATTTTTGGGGAGTGAAGAATTTGGTAGATGAGGCAGTAGTTTCCAACACATAGTTGGATGGTTGCGACGGGGTTTTGTGCGGCGACGGCGGAGGAGTTAAAGTTTGGTTTCCACTCAATGTCAAGCCCGACAATCAAGCGGTGGAGACGGGATTCGTTTAAAATTTCCATCTTCTTAATCCATGCCGATGCGGGATCATGAGCAACATGACTTCGTATAATTTGTGTGGACATTTGCAGGTTAATTCGTACTCACTGATCTTCACAGTCATGGCGTTTTCAAAATCAACAACACTACCTCTATACTCTATCTAGTTGTGAATTTTGAAGCTACAAATAGTAAATTTAGGGTTGTTAAATGATGGCTTGGGTCAAGTCTGTCGTGTGAAGTTCATTCATTGGATCAAAATAAAATTACGCAACACGTCAAACTTTAACAAATTTACCATCCCTCGCTATATTTAAAATTCAGAACAAATCCACAAAACAAAGAGATTAATTCACTTTGTTAGTGGATGTCTTGAGTTCCACTCTCAGCAATATCATTTTATTTTTCTGTATTCGCCTTGATTGTATTCGTTATATGTATGAATATAGTCAATACAAATACAATTGATACAAGTTATATCCTTTATATACACCCATATATACAGTTTGTATACACCTTGTATTTCGTCTTGATTAAAATTGATATATGTTGTATTCGTTGCGCGAAAATGAATATAATTAACACATGTTATATTTGTTGCGTGTTTGAATATAATTGATACAAGTTGATAACAATTGAACAATAACTACACATGATAATTAGGCAAACTATAGTTACTAAGTTCTAAATGATAGTGCTTTCTAAAAAATTACTCTTCTTTTAAAAGTTGACTGGTTAGTGTAAAATACTTAAAATCCGTCATGGGTGAAAAATATCACCACGACAAAGATACTTTCTTATAACAATCTCAGGGTGTGGACGAGTCGGGTTGACCCGGTTCCGAACCGACCTAGACCGGTGTTAACCCGGACCAGTATGGACCGATGGTTAGGGACCAGGCCGGGTTGGGTTTGGGAGATTAGAGGGTTGAGACGTTTACATTTTCATTATCAGTTACCAGATCGGTCAAACCCGATCAAGGAAAATCACTGTTGAGCCGGTTAACCGGACCGGTTCAATGGTTATTTTTTGAATTTTTTTAAAAATTCATTTGATTGTTGGCAACGGTCAACTTCCAATTTGACCGTTGCCCAACGGTATTTTGTAAGAATAGCCCTTTTTTGGGCAATTTTTTTTTAAAATAACACTTTTAGTAATTACTAATTTAGCCCTCTAAAAAATTATAAATACACACCCCCTCACCCTCTCTTCTTTATTTCTTCACTCATCTATCATTTCTCAAACTCAAATTCTTAATTGTCATTCTCTCATTCTTCACCTAAATTGTAATCAACTATTTGACTCTCATTTTTTTTGGAATTTAATTCATCGTATTATTTGAAGTTTGAACTTTGAACAATTGACATTTCTTCGTAGTAACATTGGAATTAGGAAAATCATCAAGTATTCAATTTATTGCGGAATTCGGTGCACTCCCTCCAACTCGTGGTAACATCGATGTTTCTTCAAGTTTGAACTTTTTATAAGATTGTTTTTTGTTTTATATTTTTACTTTATATTAATATAAATTACGATAGTTATACAAAATACAAAAAAAATTAATAAACCCGGTCTGGCCCGGCCCATTAGGCCCGGAACCGTTTCGGTTCAATATTTTACCGGATGGGCCCGAACCCGTTAAATCGATTGGAAAAATCAGTAACTAGCCCGTAATGGTGACCGTTGGTCACTTTTTTACTCAATCCGGATCGGATCGGCCCACCCCTTTGACACCTTTGGGACCAATAGAGATAACATTTTAACAGACCCACATAAAATTGGGCTCAAGAATTAAATATGATACGACCTAGTGATTATTAATAAAGTAAGAAAAGAACCATAAGATTTGACGTTTAACTCTTACCAAAGGATAAAAATTTAGGCATTTCCCCCCTTTTGCCTCAACTTTGTTGGGACAAAATTACATATTTATGCAGGTGAGAAATATTCGGTGAAATAATAGAGGTGTGCAAGCTATAAAGTGCAGCTTTAAGGCTTGAGTACTTTGTTCAAGTTTGATAGTCACATGAGTTTAATTTCGATGCCAATAAAAGTCAGTGATTTTTGTAAATTTCGAGTGTTACATTCTTTGTAGATGCCTGACCTTTTCTTCTTGAAATAGTGTCACTATATTATATACAGTATTAAGTATTGTCGGTCGTTCACAAAGTTGAGTCAAGAAGTTTTATTGGGTGCCTCATAGACTCACACAACTGACATTAATTGTGTGAGACTCCTTTGTCTCTCACAAATTTGTGGACCCAATTTTACAATTTTGAGTCCACAAAATTTGAATCCACAAAAGTGTGAGATAAAAATAATACCTCATACAACTACTGTCAGTTGTATGAAACACAAAATAAAATTTTCCAGTTGAGTCGGTCAAAATGAGGTGAGGGACCATTTTGATCATTTTCTCCAAAAACCTCTAAGATGCTTAATTCTTAATTAGTTTATTATGGAGGTCAAAGTTAATTCAGATGTTTGTGTGGGGTCCATCCCATGATTTAAGGTATTTCTTTGAAATTGGCAGCCACCGCAATTCTTGAATTGTCAAGGAAAAAATGTCAAGATTGGTAGGCATAGCAGATCTACAGGAGAGAAAATGTCAAATATAGTAGGCGTAAGAGAGTGAGGCTCTGCCTATAAAAGGAGAGCTTCAACTCTCATCTCAACACACCAATCTCAGAGAAAAAATATATCTGAGAGTTAGAAAGAAAGAGTGAGGTTTCACAGGCAGGGTATAAAAAAATAGTCTGTGAGAAAAATATAGAGTGAGTGATATTGTAGTGAAGTGAGAATATCAAAAGAGGGTTATTTCTTTTGAGTGTTATAGTGGTCTTTTGAGTATTTTACTCGGACCTACAAAGTCTAAAATTCCTTGCTATAGTGATATCAGTTGCTCTTCTCAGGGCCGTGGTTTTTTCCCTTATTTAAAAAGGTTTTCCACGTGTAAATCTTAGCGTCGTTGTTATTCTTTTATTCTTGTTAATACAGTATCTCGGTGCTACGTTATTATTCCGCTTTTATTATCGTGAATATTATTTTTGTAGGAGTTTATTCCCAACGACTGTGAGGAAGCTGACTGAGATCCAAATCTAGGCATAAACTAATAACTTTTCAATTCAAAGCTGCTTTGGCAGTAGTTGTAAAAGTGACAACAATATTTTGGGAAAGTGAGGGTGCAGTTCTGAGGGAATATTGCGCCATATAAACCAAACGATTAAGCAAATAAAAATCTAAATAGAGAACAAAGGAAAAGCAAAAAGAGTTTAAAATAAGTGAAATATCAACAAACATGTGATCGTCAGACATGAAGACAGAAATAGAAGTACCAATCCTTCATTTGGCTTCACACAGGACCATTATTAGGCCACTAGCTTTTGTTCGAATCTTATATTTATTTTAAAAATTTATTAAATATGTATACATTATTAATTTAGAACTCAGTAGCTTAAGGCGATTATAATTCCGAACCCATAAATTTAAAATCTTAGCTCTGCCTCTGCTGACAAACTATTAAGCACAAAACACTTACCGTAATCTATTAACTCTTCATCAAAACAATACTCCTGCAGTATAGTATTATTACCTATCCCTATTGCGGCTATCAACGCCAGATACTGGACAGGTTCTAATTGTTAAAAATTGATCAAAAAGGGAGAAAGAAACCTCAATGTTAGACTCCTTGCCTCAATCTTGTTAGGGATTACAAACTGTTGGTGTTGAAACACGAGATCTTCCGTAAGATTTTTGTAGTTAAAAACTGATTACAACTATGATAGTACTCTCTGTTTCAAAAAGATTGACACTATTTTATTATTAGTCTGTTTCAAAATCGACACTTTTCAATATTTCATTAATAAGAATCATTTATAGCCACACAAATGTTATAGCAGATTTCAGAACATAAATTTTAAAAGTTTTATAACCACATAAATACTATGACTTAAGTATTTAATACCACATATCTCAAAAGTCTTACCTTCTTTATTAAAGTTTGTGTCACGTAAAACTAATACAATCTTTTTGAAAGAGAGAGAATAATATATTTAGGTCGCTTGATAGGAGGTATTAGAAAAAATAATGCAAGCATTAGCTCTGTGTATTACTAATACCTTGTTTGATACATTTTTTCAACATGTGTATAACTAATACAGTTATACATCATATAAACTCGTTAATCGGGCTGGGCTGGCCCGTTTACAACCCAGTTCGACCCGGTATTGGATGAACAAATTTTGGCAACTAGTGCACCGGAACCTGGTTAGCCCGCTTACCCGTTAACGAATTTTTACTGGTCTACAGCCCGGTAACCGTTACAATTTTTTTTAAAAAAAATTTCTAGATCGTTGTCAACGGTCAAATTCAAAAATGATTGTTGGGCGACGACTCTTTTTTGCATAAATGGCCATTTCGGCCTACCCTCTTAAGAAAATAGCCCCTTCCCCCACCCCTAATAATTGATAAATTATAATTGTAACCTTTTAAATTCTATAAATAGCCCCCTTCTTCTTCATTTTTCTCACAATTTACTTTCTTACTACTCTAATTCTCTCTTGATAATATTGATTATTGCTCTTAAATTCTCAATTACTTATTATTTCAAGTTTCATCAAATATTTAGTTTATCCACTACAAAATTATTATTATAAAATATCAAGTATTCAAGTGAAATGTGGTATCAAGTATCGATCTATCAATTGAAGTTTGATATCAAATTTAGTGCGGCATCCGGAATCCCGGTACACTCTTTCCTTCTCTTTCTCTTCTTTGGTGTATATTTTTATTTTATTATTTAGAATTATTAATTTAATTTGCTTAATGTATATATTAAGAGCAACTTAAAAAGCGTGCACTAGTAGGGGTGGTAGTAGTAAGAGTAAAACTTCTAAAAAATCAAGAGGTGGTGTTGGTTCTTCTAGTAGCTTTACACATATTTCTGAAAGTTCACCTGAAAATTTAAATGTAGATTATGAGCGACTTCAAGAGAATTATGGTATAAATGATGATTTAGATGATATTCAATCACCTGATAATCTTGAAACAATACCAGCTACACCTGGTAATGCTAGTCAAACTCAAA